ACGTCGGGTATCCGAGGAGCCCCTTTAAGTTTTCGGCCTTTATCAATGCCTTTTTATTTTTATGCCACACCTCGGGTTTGGGATTGTTCCCGGGTGGCAGTGTCCTCTTGCGTCCGAGCTCCAATGCCAGACTGCATTCGAGGTATCTTTTGCAGCCGAGCACCAACGTCGGACCGCTTCTGAGATCCAACGCCGGAATGTATCCGAGCTCCACCGCCGGAATGTATCCGAGTTCTACCACCGGACTATGTCCAAGCTCCAACGCCACACTATATCCAAGGTGTCATAGATCACCTTGGTTCAAAAAAGTTGAAGGAGTTTAGCCAGGCTTAATGCCGGAAATGCCCTCTACGGAGCCAGCCACTAGCGTCTGAGCTTCATGCCGGACTGCTTCCGGGGTGTCTGTTGTAGTCGACCACCAAAGCCGGACTGTATCCGAGGTGGTGCAACACCTCGGCCATGGGCTGATTTTTATGAATTTAATTCTGAATTATGCAATGTAGTCTCTGCCGAGATGTATAGCCAGTAGCCCTCAAGGTGCGTGTTGGCCTAATATCTGGGATACACCTAAAGTAAAAAATCAAACCGCTGACCCTAGTAGCCCCTGAGGCTCAGGTCGATTCATAAAATCAGCCTGAGGATCAATTCCCAGCTCGGCAGCATACTTAGGAATAGAAACGCGGTGTGCAGAGTCCTCGACACTCAGGTTGGGTGCGGCCGACCAACCTGAGGATAATAATCTCCTCGAAAACTATATTGCACTTTAAATTTTCTGCATTGGATTGTCAATGCAGTAGCCCCCGAGACACTGGTCTGGTGGCAACACCAGATTAGGGGATCGATGTGCCCTTTTAATATTTGTAAATAATAAGCCCGAAGCCTAGTAGCCCCCGAGCCTTAATGCGGGCACGGGAGGCCGAATTAAGGATTGATATCCATAGTAAAATCACAAATTATGTGTAATGACTCTATGTATCCAAGTACTTTACATCATTAATGCTCGGATCCGCATTGTATAAAACTTTGTTGACCGACCATCAGCTTCAACTTCCTCGGCCAGCAGCCGAGGAGTGTTTGTTCTACTTTATAAAGCCTTTATGAGGGCAAAGATTTACGGCAAATAAGGCAATCTGGCCATACGGTTTTATAAACAAAGGTACGCAGAGAGACATGTTATATTATTTGTTTAACATAAGAAACATCATCCAAAGAAAATAGTCCTGCTATCGGTTCCTTTCTTTGGGTTGTCATGCTAAGCATGATCATGAAACCTCACCTCCGATCAATGTGGGAGGAAAATACTGAGGATTTAGTTCGGGGAAAGCTTCCAAACTCTGTGGTCTAAAGGAACCAAATTTTCACCTCTGTTGCGACTGTTTATAATCTGAAAGTGGCCCATCGTCGGCTTATACCCCCTTGTAGATGCTATGCAGGGTGTTTCCGCAATAACAAAACAACCCTTAGCTGATGTCTCGGCGCACGAAGGCGGTTGTGTTTAGCGGAAACGAGGCAATCAGATATGCGGGCTTTATAACTTTCACTTAGTCATAGGAGGTTAAACTTGGGAGGGCAGCAAGTAGCCCCCCGGTTAGTGTTCGGCGACAGCCGAGGTCAAGCCGTAAACACTTCGGCCAAAGTTTTGAACGGCCCGTCATTTAATACAGTCATCGGACCGCTGACCAGTTTACGCTTATTGTGGCAGTCAGTTTTCGGCTTTCTCCACTGAGGTGCTTAACCATGCGAGCTGGAAGCACAATCGCAATGGTTCTCCCTTTGCACACCTAGCCGAACAAAATGGAACGTAGGAGGCAAACACAGGAGCCGAGCAACCCAACTATTGACCGAAGACACAATTCGAAACTGATGCATATATAGCAATATCCGAGAATTTTTGCCGAATCTCTAAAGGTGTCCGGTGTTGCACTGCGAGACTTATGCGGAAAACACACAAATGGTTGAAAAGTGCAATAGGATTGGAAAACCAAAAAATGTCAGTAAAAACTCGACGTCCGAACTAGATCAATTGTTCGATGCCAATCAGAAAATTGGTCTTAGAAAAAAAAAGGTTGTGCTTTTGTCGTGCTTTAACATGACACATCCTATCTCAAGACTTCAAGCGGGCCAGCCTACGGCTTCAACCTCCTATCCCGAAGGCGGAGTACTTCTCGTTAGGCCAGTTTAGCAAACTTTAGCGGCTTTGAGAGGAAAATTGGGCTCCCCGGCTATTGACCACACACTCGCGTCGAAAAAAGGAGTGATAGAAAAAATACGTTGCAACGACTAGGAAGAAGAACACTTATTATAAAACAGCTCTCATAAATTTAAGAGCCCCCGAGTGACTTGGGTAAAAGAATTTTATGTATAATGATTGTATGTACCGAAGTACTTGTATCATATTTGTGTTCACCCGAACTTTATATGCGTCTTAACCGACCGTCGGCTTCTCCCTCTTCGGTCAAGGACCAAAAAGTGTTATGTACTCCACCTGTTGAGAATATCGACGGTGTTTCCGATAACCAGGCAATCAGGCCATAAGGCTGTAACAGACAAAGCGCGCTCGGGGAACTTATGCTATATTACCGACGAAGTGTAAGAAGCATCTTCGAAGAAAATAGTACCCCACCGATACCTTTCTTCGGTTGCTCACTATGACACTTGTGTAATAGATTTTTTGTACTCATGAGTTCCGTTGTGTGCCGACCATTATTGAAAACAGTAAGAGCGCTAGCTTTTGGCTTCACCCAGTCTGAGGTCCGGCTCGGGTGACCCGATCGTGACAATCGCAGAGGTGCTTCCTTTACTCCCTAGCCGAACAATCGGGGACGTAGGGGTAAACACAGGAGCAAGGCAACCCAGCTTGCAAATCACTTAGGTCAATATGGTGCATATTGTGGCGTAATACATGAACAAGGAACGAAGCCGTACAAGTATAATCATATGCAAGAGGAAAAGCTCCAGCAAGGGAGCCCCCAAGTAAACGGGGTATTTGAATTTGTGTGTCACAAACAAAGTTTGGACAAGGAAGTTTTTCACAAACATTTTTTTGCGAAAAAAGTATAATGCTTGGTCGGACCGAACAAAATTTAAATCTAAAAGTTTTTGAGCATGAAAGCGACTTAGCTGGTTAATGTGTTCGGCATTGATGACGTGGTCCGAGCTTGGTGCGGGACAAGGTCTCAGCCCCCAAGCCCGATGCGGCCGAGCGAAGAGCTCGGCACTCCGAAGAGGTGAATCCCCCAGTCTAGCCGAGGTGATGGAGCAGGTCACCTGGTGACACTGGAATCTCCAGCCGAGTAGGTTGATGTAGCAACGGTTCTTTCTTGACCACGTGATCGCTAAAGACGGAGAATACCATGTGGACCCTGAGTTCATTTGGAATTAGGAGATTAAATTGTAAGAGATAATTATATTGTATATATGTAGCCAGTACGTAGCGTCGGATAGATATACGAGAACTTGTTGTTCGACCAATCTCTCAGAGAGGGAGAGGTGGTCGATATCACTTCTCTCTATGCATATATTCATGACCATCTTTTGTTTCCTTCATTTGCTTACTAGCTAGCGTGTCTAGTCCTCTCTATACGTATAGTACGTAGCGTCGACCAAGCACGGATATAAGAGAGGACACTTCTCTCTATTAATTAGCTAGCTAACACAATATATGAAACACCTAAATTAACCCCCCAAAAACCCCTAACCCCCTCCCCCCTTTAAAAAAAACAAAAACCCCAGCACCTGAAATGCTGACGCGTGGATGCCTATTGGTCCCGATTAGTGCCACCAACCGGGACCAAAGGTCCTCCTGCCTGGGCTCGCCGCACCGGCCACGTGGAGGCTCATCTGTCCCAGTTTATGCAAGAACCGGGACTAAAGGTTTAGGGCATTAGTACCGACACTTTAGTCCCGGTTCAAAAACCGGGACAAATGGCCCTCACGAACCGGGACAATAGGTCCTTTTTCTGCTAGTGCCAGATTCCGGAAGTGAATTCCATCATAATGCATTTTTAAAATTCTATTTATATTTTTTTTTTGAAACAGGGCAAAAGATTTGCCACTTTCATTCATTAAGCAGAAGAGGGTTGCCCGGTTAATTAACGGAAACCCGGGCGAAAACCGTTAAAACACACGCCCTCCACAAGGCACCATCAACACACACCGACCCGAGGGCGTGTGATGGACGCGCATGTGATATTTTTTTCTCTTGCTGCAACGTACACATGCTAACCAAAACAGTTACATTAAAAGCTCGGAAAATTTGATGCTATGTACTATAAATTACATCTGTGCTATTCACTATTAATGATAGGAAATTGTGTAGACAAACACATGCTACTCATTTCTAGCAACACCTACTTTGCTTCGTAGCGAAGCACGGACATTGTCACGTTGTTGCCACCTTTGATGATGGCAAGGAGAAGAATAGGCGGTGAAACGACTGAGATATGGTGTTGAAAAAGAGGATCTCGACGTGTGAGAGGTTTTTAGCCATAATTGTGGGGATAGGGGCAATGCATTTATTTTGTTTCGTTGCAACGCATAGGCATTTGTGCTAGTGCTAATCTAAGAAAACAAAAAAACAGAGGGATTATGCCAATGCTTCATGTACAAGCAAACAAGCCGTCAAGCCATTGTAAATTTGTGGGGGATAAATTGAGTGACAGCGGGAACCGGCAGCCGGCAGGGCCAGTCAACTCTTGAGCAGCACAGATGCCTTCGAAGGAAAGCACCTGCTGACATCGATTCAAGTTTCACCCTGCTTCGTACTCCTACTACAGAAAGCACCATCGTCACGCACTCACGCTCCAGGGAGGACTACCTCCCGTCCGTTCCACCTCCTCCGCCTCCCTCTGAAGCCAATCGGCAGCACCGCCGCCACCGCCACGCAACCGCGTTGACCGCTCCCCCGAGTCGCCCCTGCGCCGCGGCAGCCCACCGGAGCATTGAGCAAGCACGCCCCTCAGACGCCCTACCCCGCCGCCAGGGTCTCCGACCGACCCGCGATGTCGCGCGGCGGCGGGTGCTCCCCGCCGATGGATCTGCTGCGGTCGGAGGCGATGCAGCTGGTGCAGGTCATCATCCCCGCCGAGTCGGCGCGCCTCGCCGTCTCCAACCTCGGCGACCTCGGCCTCCTCCAGTTCAAAGACGTACGTCCGCACGCCCTGTTGCTCACACCTTTGCTTGCTTTATTGCTTGGATTTCAATCTGTTTCCCCACTTCCGTTCGATCGCGTAATGCTGCTCGTCGTGTTCCTTCAAGCTCGGGTGCGGACCGGCGGTGTGCGCCTAGCGTTTTGGGCCTCGGCGCTGTAAACAATAGAGCATTGCGTGCTATGATACGCGATGTGGACTGCATATGTCTCAACCGATAGCCAACGTGCAGCATTGACCACTTGAGATAAACAATTATAGGATTGACCCAGCGATACAGATTACTACCTCCTCCGTCCTAGTTTATTAGCCACCCCTTTATTTAGGATCATATTTTGACCATTGATTTTAACTACTAAAATAGAGTGAATTCCACTTTTTACTCTGTAGTTCTGCATTTGTGACACATATTACCCTATTTAGTGCAACTTCTACCAAATATTTCATTTAGAAAATTTTGAACACAGTTTTACCCCAGTTTAGCACTTTGCTTGTTTCTGTTAGATAGTACCGGCATGTTACGCCGACGTGGCACGGTAAAATGCGTAAAGATCTGAGGGCATAATCCATATTCATGTTCAGATTTCTCTTACCCATATGTTCAAATCCTCCTCCTCGTCTTGATATTTTTAAACTCTGGTCAACACCTTACACCTTGCCCGATAGACACGCATAAAAAAAAGGTTTCAAAGCTTTTAAAAGGGGTAATCTTGACGATTTTTTCATTCGACAGGGTAATTAGTGTCAAAAATGCATAACTAAGGAGTAAAAAGTGGAATTCACTCACTAAAATATAAGTCAAACAGAGCAAATATGATGTCATCGGAAACTATGTTCGAATACGAATCCTACGATATATTTTGTGTGACATGCATTAACACTTAGTGAGTTAAATTTATGATCAAAGTTTGACACAAAATTCGAAGGGGGCCAATAAGCCAGGACGGAGGTAGTAGAAGATAGCACGTGCCTCAACCAGATAAATACTTAGCTGAAATGGTGCCGCTGCAACAGGTGTCGGTGTTATGAAAAGTTGCCGCGTCTCAAACTTTGGCACGAACAAAAGCCCCTCCCCTATTATTGCAATTTGAAAATGGCAAATTGAGGCATGGATTTGCGCGACAGTGATCGTGTACCATGCGGGACACTGTCATCTTGAACTCTACACATGGCAGCTAACGCACTCACTGCTGAGGCCGATCACTGGTTATACACGATCCTAGTGGTATGCTCTTCAGGCCCTTGTTTTCTCTAGTATATCCCTCAAGAGTGGTGCGTTCTTCTTCGAATGGAGGAGGCATAATGTTCTTCATGAAGCACATGAGGAGGCAACTTTTTATCCTTTTCATGGATGAACATAAAATGCCTTAGGATGATGCCTTTTCACGGAACATCACTAGGATCATACGTACATGACTGTCAAGTTAATAATAGCCTAATTTTATGTCCTCGTGATAAATTTGGAACTATAAACATTTCAAAATTTGTTAATTACTTGAAGTATTTTTCTACAACTACTGACATGCAACCGTACGTGTAGCGCTATCTTATGAGTTTATGTAACCTCAGGTGAACTTATTTTAGCTTGGAATTTCGTAAGGTAAAACATGAAACATGTTGACATAGGCGATTTTTATCTGTGTTAAGTCATGCTTTTTTCCTTTTCGTTTAGTCCAGGAGAATCTAATATCTGCGCTTTGTTTCAGCTTAATGCGGACAAGAGCCCATTCCAACGGGCATATGCTGCCCAGGTACGCGACCTTATTTAATGCTTTCTTGTTGCTGTGCTCTGTTATGCAATGTGGCCTTATATCTGTCCAGCTTATTACGATTCACAGTTTCTTGAATACCTGTAAAGGAACTAAATCCCGTGTATGTCACTGATTAAATTTCGTATAGAACTGTTGGTCTTTTCAGCATCTTTTTTACTTTATGCTGTGAAAACAATATCCTATTCTGATGAGGCGAAACAATATCCTATTCTTAATGCCCAGATTATCACCATTTTCCTATGATACATAGTGGGTTAATACATGTCCCCATTATATGAGGATGGAACCACAATATCCAGTTAATGCAATGATTTGGTTTTCAGAATCCTACGTTATCCTGATTACATGTAGCCTAATGTGAAAAGGACTAAACCCTAAATATTTCGCATTCGTCTTGTGCTCTGAATCATAATCATATTTACTACTAGTTCATACTGATCTGTGAATTTAATAATCTTTTTTCTGCACATACACCTTGTGCAGATCAAGAGGTGTGGTGAAATGGCTCGCAGGTTGCGTTTTTTCAAGGAACAAATGTCGAAAGCTGCAATATTGACTTCTCCGACGCAATTTTCAGGAGCTTCTTTGGAAATTGGTGATCTGGAGGTATTTGGTTAATGAAACTTATGCCCTCATCATTTGCAGGTTGTAAGTGTAGAATTTTGTTTTAACATTGTCAACTAACAGATAAAACTTGGGGAATTTGAAGCTGAGCTAACTGAAGTAAATACAAATAATAGAAAATTGCAGAGGACATACAATGAGCTGGTGGAGTACAATGTTCTTCTAGAAAAGGTATGACCACATTAAAGGATAATTAAATAATTTATTTAATGCAATTCACTTTTCTCTTTTCGTGCATTGACGAGAGCACCATAAACTGAAAGGAATTAAACCCTGAAATCCCCTGAGGTGCAAGGTGAAAAAGAAACAATACAAAAAACTTGCTTGTAGAATATTTGTGACATCAAGGAAAGGTAATTGACTCTCTAGTTTCTATAAACACCCTGATATAGTTAAAAACTTAAAATGTAGCAATATTTACCACCATTGATTTCGAATTGCATTCATTGTACATTACTTTGGGTTTTATTGAACATGACATGAAATTCCTGATGTTCCAATCTCAAGCGGGGATCAGAAATTTATAAAAAGTATAATTGTAATCGATGCAGCCTTCACCAAACAAATGTGAAACCACAAACTATATATTTTGATGATTCAGATTACAGAGTAGTATTGATTGACTGAATGAAAAGAAACATCTCTTTACAACTTTTAATGAAAATTTAGAAGAGAGTAGTTTCTGTCGGCTTGTATTTGGGTCAACGACATGACAGGAGTCATGTAGCAAGCATTCCAGGAAGTAGCGCATAGCAACAGCAGGAGGATGAGGAGTCAGATAAATATCTGGTTATTGGTGTAGGAAACAATTCATTGTTAAATTTGTATGCAATTAGGAACCCTTGTCTTATGGGAATCTGGTCATGTTAGTTTTCTTTAGCCCGAGTCCACCGTAATCTTTAGGCAAGCAAGAAATAAGTTCCTTATACCTGAACTTCCTTTGTGCCGAGGGGTAAGCTGCTGACTGCATTTGCACCTTGCTGCCGAAGCGTGCTCCTCGCAATGGGTACCATGACTTGTGCAGTGCAATTATTTTTCTTTTCTCGTTGTGTGTTGCCAGTTAGTCGAATATTTGTGCTCGCTGTGCCTACACAGGGCACCTAATTATCCAGTTGTGCACTTTTGACTGCAATTAGTATTATTTTTCTCGCACGCCAGATTTTAAGTGTGCATCATCTGTTGAGGCTTCTGGTTTTTTGAGCTATGGGGCATTATTTTTAAAACTATTTAAAACTATGCCGGTTTGTTTTTTTTGTATTTGTAGGATGTATTTTGGATGTGCGGATATTTTATTTGTACATATTCGAGAGTCCTATAATGCCATGTCCCTATAGTAGCTCCACCCTTAGTTATATGTTGTTCATTACTGGTCTCTATTTACTTTCAGACTGGTGAGTTTTTCTACTCAGCTCAGAGAAGCGCGGCAGAGCAACAGAGGGAAATGGTGGCTGATCAGTCTGGTGATTCTTCTCTGGAGAGTCCTTTATTGCACCAGGTGAGGACCATTTTGCTAGTAAAGCAATATATTAGTTCTCCTTGTTTTCATACTTCTTTCGTTGCAGGAAATGGTGATAGATCCATCGAAACAAGTGAAGCTAGGTTCCCTGATTGGTCTTGTGCCAAAGCAAAAGGCTATGGCCTTTGAGCGTATACTTTACCGTGCCACCAGGGGCAATATGTTACTCCGACAAGAATCTGTTGATGAATCTATAATTGATCCACAATCTGGAGAGAAGGTTACTACTTCCCTTTGTCGTCAACTCCCTTCCATAAATTTTAGGAATTACTTATGAATATTCAATATGATGCTTCTTTGCTTTTTATTTTTTTGCGTTGAAGACGAAGTTTGTTATGTCAGATGATTGAAAATGAACCTAATCAGTACTATTGTATGGGATTTTGAGATAACAAAAGAATCATAAACAACCTATCCTGTGACGGGTGTGGCATGCCTAGCCAGCACTACGGTGTGGCCCAAGCAGTTAGAATAGGAAAAAATTAGAAGGGGTAATTAGTGGCACAAGTTTGCTTAAATTTGGTAAAAATGTGAAAATTCTGCTAAATGGGGTATTTCCTGTCACAAACATGAAACTAGGGCATAAAAAATGGAATTCACTCTACAAATTATTATTTTCTCGGCAATGATGTTTAACATTCAGCTGTAAGCCACATCATATTGTTGTTATTTCTCCCCCACTAGTTATGTACTTATTTCTGAAATATTATTTTCCTCATATGGTTTTGTCACTATAACGTATTGACAGGCCGTGAAAAATTCTTTCGTTATATTCTACTCTGGGGAGAGAGCAAAATCCAAGATTCTAAAAATTTGTGATGCTTTTGGTGCCAACCGTTATCCGTTTCCAGAAGACCTTGCCACACAATTACAAACTATTCAGAAGGTTGGTGTCTACCCCTGTGTTTTGTTCTTTAAACCATGTTGGTGCTCATTTTGCTTTGTGGATTAGTTCTCTTGGAGAGAATGCTGAGACCTCCTCTCGTGCTTGCTTTTGTATATATATATCTATGTGATGTTCTTGAGCATATACTATATATTTGACCTTAGTACCATACAATTGATAGCACATCATCATATTAAACCCGCTATTATTTAGTACTTTAGGACACATTTTTGTAAACTGGAGGGTGTATTTTCTTTTCTTCTTTTTGGTGTTTCATGTTTGATTAGATAGGTAATCTTGTTGAAATTTTTTTCCTTTCTGTCTCAAGCTTGTGCAGAAGTTCTGAATTGTAGTCGAAAATTCTTTCACAAAAGCTGTTGTACTATATTTACTAAGTTACTATTATTTGTTCTGAAACATTTGCAACTGTTTAGGTATCTGGAAAAGTGTCAGAGTTGAAGGCAACTGTTGAAATAGGTTTAGCTCATCGTGACGGCATACTTAAAAATATAGCTTGTGAGTATGAAGAATGGAACAACCTGGTAAGCTTGTATTATATACAATCTTTTGGTATGTTTCTTATCATGCAAAATAGAAGTCCGTGCTATTTGAACAACGCTTGCTGAATATCTTATTAATTTCGTTGCATTCATGTTTAATTCTGATTGACGTACAAATGCTTCAGTTAAAGAAGGAAAAAGCTATTTACCACACGCTAAACATGTTCAGTCTTGATGTAACAAAGAAATGTTTAGTTGCTGAGGGGTGGAGTCCCGTTTTTGCTACAAGTCAGGTATGCAAATGCACTCTCATCCCTTCTAGAATTGATGTTTTCTGGCTGCTTTTTTGGTTTCGGTTGCTCTTACTTTGTCAATAGGTTTAGGAGATTATTTTACCTATTGCAGGTACAAGATGCACTTCATCGTGCTACTACTGGTAGCAACTCCGAAGTTGGTTGCATTTTCCAAATTCTGAACACACAAGAATCTCCTCCAACGTATTTCCAGACAAACAAATTTACGTCCTCCTTCCAGGACATTGTGGATGCCTATGGGTAAGTTTCAAAAATATAAAGATTGTTAGGGAAACACTAGTGAGCCATAAGCCAGTATATGTACACGTACATGTGTGGCACATTTATAGGAAACTTCTTATACAATGGGGTATCAGTATTACACAACTAATATGGCTCTTTGCCAAGCTTACAACCAGTAGAATCTGAAGGAGCACAAAGACCCTAAAAGACCACAAAGTAGTACGAACGAACGAAGACATATGTGAACCACAAATATGTTCCCAACAGTGACGTTACTGAGCAAACGACCCAGTGGAGGAAGCGGCGGAGGTGGCGTTGGAGAACACGGAGGGACTGACAGGTGCAGCGGAACGTAGGAGAAGCCACTCAAACTCCTAGAGACAGAGAATCAGGGCAACAAGGACCAGTGCCAACCATGATACATCTCTCACATATCTGTATCTATCTATTTCATAATCGGTATATCTAGATCAGTATACTGTTTTGTCCATTTATTTGTTGATTTACTTTGTGTTTCCCTTTTCTAAACCTTTAGTACTGTGCTCATTTAGTGAAATTCTATCATAGTTATACTCTTTCTTGTGTTCCTTTCATTGTTTGTTTTGCTGATAGATAATTATGCCCCCGTACTGGTCATGTTAAGTTTTATATTTCTATTATTTCTTTGTGCTATATGTGTAGAATACGGAGCATAATTATCTATGTGGGTTAGGACTTTTATCTTCAAACTAGTGATACTAATTCAACATATCTGATATTTATTGTAATTTACAGAAATGGTTACCATCAACCAGGAATAACCTAGTCACTTCTTACTGCATAAAGGAATTATTGGGGTTCATGCTATGTGCTAACTTTACATTAAATATAATTTGCAGTATTGCGAGCTATCAAGAACTAAATCCTGGTTTATTTACCATCGTAACATTCCCCTTCTTATTTGCCGTCATGTTTGGTGATTGGGGTCATGGAATTTGTATATTTCTTACTGCACTGTACCTCATAATCCGAGAGAAGAAGCTAGCTTCACAGGTTTCGTCTCGAGCCTTCTCTTCTTCATTCAGTAGATATATGTTTTCCAAGGAAATTATTATTAACTTTCTTCATTTCTTTGCTCGCAGAAACTAGATGACATAGTGGAAATAATGTTTGGTGGGCGCTATGTAATTTTGATTATGTCCCTTTTTTCAATTTACACTGGATTGATATATAATGAGTTCTTCTCGGTTCCATTTGAGCTCTTCGGTAAATCTGCCTATGCCTGCCATGATCCTTCGTGTGGGTAAGCTGCTGAATTTGTGCTCCTACTTTGATGTTTTATGAAAATCGCATGACTTTCCCTTTTCCCCTTTGTTTTATTTATAGGGATGCTACAACTGAAGGATTAGTTATGGTGGGGCAAACATACCCATTTGGTGTCGATCCAGTGTGGCATGGAAGCCGCAGTGAGCTGCCATTTCTCAATTCCCTAAAGATGAAAATGTCAATTCTTCTTGGAATTGCACAAATGAACCTTGGAATTGTGTTGAGTTTCTTTAATGCGAAGTATTTCAAAAATACTGTTAATGTTTGGTAGGTCGAACTCTTCCCAGGAATAATCAGTCCTGTGATTTCAAAAATACTCATTCAGTTTTTGTGTCAACAGGTATCAGTTTGTTCCCCAGCTGATCTTCTTAAACAGCTTATTTGGTTACCTGTCACTCCTCATCATTATTAAGTGGTGCACTGGCTCAAAAGCTGACCTATACCATATAATGATATATATGTTTCTGAGTCCAACGGATGATATTGGGGAGAACCAGCTATTTCCTGGGCAGAGAATTGTGCAGGTTTGGTGATATTCATTGCTGCTGCCATGTGTTGATTCTGTCAGTTGCACATAACATTTCTTGTTTCCTCGCAGCTTGTTCTACTTCTGCTTGCTCTGGTGTCTGTGCCTTGGATGCTGTTTCCGAAGCCATTGTTTTTGAAGAAGCAACATGAGCAGGTTGCAGACCTTTCTTAATTCCCTAACTGTCTTCTCACTGGAATATACTCCTATATCATATACCCACTTGTTGATGTTTTAATTTGCCTCCATCAGAGACACCAAGGCCAGCATTACACCATGCTCCAGGAGACAGATGAATCAGTGGCTCAATTGGGAGGACAACATGAAAACCCACACAACCACGAGGAGTTTGAATTCAGTGAAGTTTTGGTCCACCAGCTGATCCACACAATTGAGTTTGTGCTCGGTGCGGTCTCAAATACCGCCTCATATCTTCGTCTTTGGGCTCTCAGGTATCATTGAACATGATATAACACATCAACCCCAAATAAGTAAGTTTCTCCTCACGAGACAGACATTGACAAGTAATCGATGTCTTTATTTTTGCAGTCTCGCGCACTCAGAACTGTCCGGTGTCTTCTATGATAAGGTTCTTCTTCTAGCATGGGGGTAAGATGCACTCTCTTTTACTGCTCTCTACGCCTATTGTGGCTCTTCTAATGCTGTGTTGTGCTCTCTTTGCAGATACAACAATGTTATCATCCTTGTCGTCGGAGTAATGGTCTTCCTGTTTGCCACTATTTTTGTTCTGCTTTCGATGGAGACCCTGAGTGCATTTCTGCACGCCTTGAGGCTCCACTGGGTCGAGTTCCAGGGTAAGTTTTATGAGGGTGGTGGGTATAAGTTTGCACCATTCGTGTTCGCGTCGATCCTCGAGGAGGAAGATTGAGCCCCAAGCGGTGTATGTAATTTACATAATGTAAGACCTCAAGAGGCTGTTGGAGGAAGATTCAGAAAACTCATGTTGCTTGAGCTGGAGCCATACCTGGTTATTTGTAAATTATGATGTGCTATAACGGTGCGGCTGGTACAGCTGCAACTAAAGCCGAGTGCATTGCATCTCCACATTTTTGGGAGTTGTGACATTCATCAGTTTATGCTCATGCCTGCGGTCTACCACATAACCGATGTGTATTTTATACTATGATTTTGTAAATAAATAAGACCCGTTGTTTTGAGCATGTTTTACTTGACATTTGTCGATAAGTTTTTTCTCGAACGTGCACCAAGATGCGTGTCATTTGTATTGGAAAAATGGGTAGAATGGTGCCCGTCTTGCAACAAATCTGGTTGTAGTATCCATAAATCCATGCCAAGAGCATAGAAAATGATATGCTAGTTGTAGATGTGAGATCTGTTAAACATATTGTTATGAGGCCTATGGTCGGACATCTTATATGTCACGTTGGAATAGCTAGGTAGATATCCGGTGTAGTATCTCCTTCTATCTCCTGTTAAACCTCCTGTAATATCTCCTGTTGGTTAGCCTCGACGCTGCCAATCCTTGTACTCCAAGCTACAATCAATATGTACTCATGCGGCTCCCCTGTTGGGAGTAGGAACGCTTAACCAGATTTTACATGGTATACAGAGCAACCTCTTCCACCACATCTAGCTTTCGATGTGCCTGCGCCAAGAACCCTAGCCACCTTCCACATACCTGCGCCAAAACCCTAGCCTACCTTCCTTCCATCAGCCGCCATGGCTTCCTCCTCCTCTGCCATCAACTCTAGCCTCAACTACAACACCTCCGAACCACTTACCCGATCCAACTACATCCTATGGCGCGCACAGGCAAGATCACAGATCATGGGTGCTGGCCTCTATGGCTACCTAGATCAAACCATTGAAGAACCACAAAAAACCCTCACCACCAAGAACGCCGAAGGGAAGGATCAGGTTGCCTCAAACCCTGCCTACTCCCAATGGCTCATCCAAGACCAACAGATCGTCGCTTATCTCCTCAGAAACCTATCCAAAGAAGTACTTGTCCAGGTTGCTTCGCATGAAAAATGGCATGCGATATGGACCGCGCTCGGGAAAATGTTCTCGACCATGTCTTTCTCGCGCGCCAACAACATAGGGGTCGCCCTCACCAACGCCCAGAAAGGCTCCCAGACGGCTGCTGCATATTTTGGTCAGATGCGGGTCCTCTTCGACGAGCTCACGGCGACGGGAAAGCCGATCGACGAGGATGAGCTGCTCTCCTTCATCATTGCCGGGTTGGACATGGAGTACCAGCCTATCATCTGGGCGCTCGATGCACGAACAGAACCAGTCTCCGTCGACATCCTCTTCTCCATGGTGGCAAATTTCGATCAGCGGGTCGAAATGTTCCATGATACAAACGCCGGATCCTTCAAATCATAGGCGAACTCTGCATCTCGTGGTCGCCAGGGAAACACCAAAAACTACCAAAACCAGCGGAGTGGTGGAGGCGGTGGTGGATCCCATGGTGGTGGCGGCTAGTACGGAGGCGGCGGCGGACAGTACGGTGGTGGTGGTGGCTACCACAATGGCGGCAACAACCAGGGTGGCGGCGGTG